CTGTGATGCCATGGCACTCTACCCAGGGGGATAGCTTGAGGCTCCATCTAAAAAAAAAAAAAAAAAAAAAAAAAAAAGATACAAATTTGAATGCCTCAATTCAATTGCAAAGCAAAATGTAGGGTGGCCAAAAAGTTCATGTTGAATTGCCACCCTGTATAATAATAAAGTTGATTCCCAGATTGGTAATAGCCCAAAGAATGAATTAGAAGTTGGTTAGATTAGAATTTTGAATATTTTGATTATTTTGCTCTGTTTTAGTTGACTTGTCATTGTTATACTGAAATGTTTGCATAGTGCAAAAATTTGTCAACCTTGCCTCATCACAATCCCCCAACAAAATACTTAATTTTTAAATCTAGCTTAGCAAATTCTACTTACATTATCCGTTTTGAGCTATGCTCAAAATTCTAAAATATGTTTCACTTTTGCTTTTTATATTAAAAATCCTCTTTACATAATTGACATTTAAGAAATTTTAGTTCCTAATTATTTTAATAAAGTTTGTTTTTCATAGGTTCTTGAAAATCTAGAGAGAATTAAATAAGGTTCATGCTTATTAGCTCTGATTCTGGAACCAGACTTGCTTAATTGAGGTTTAACACTTAACTGTCTGGGAGACACTGGAAAATTACTTAACCTCTCTGGGTCTTGGTTACCTTTTCTATAAAACGATATGTGACTCACATCATAAGGTTGTTATTAAGTTATATGAAGCACCTTGCATAGTACCTTACACAATTGGGGTTAAACATTACTATTATTTACTTAGATCAATTTCTTAGAATTATCTATGCTTATACCCACTCTGAGAATTTGTTCTTTGTGAAACAGAATCCTGGCATTTTAGAACTAGAAGAAATCCTTAGTGATCATTTGTTCTAGCACCCTTACTGTTCATGTGAGCCTAGACAAAGGGCAAAAACTAGTATGACATTTGGTAACAAGTTGGTGATGAACCTCTAACTAACTGAAATTGGGTTTGGGGGATTGGGTTGAAGGGCGAGAGTGTGTTGGTGTTAATATATTGTTTTGTTCTTTTTACCTCTGTTCAATGATTCTTTAATCACATTGAAACTATTGTTTCTGTTTTTCTCTACACAGTGATCTTAGCATCATGTAGGTTAGCATGAATACTTTTTTCTTCTTTTGTTACCTTAGCTTCCTTTGCACTCAAAGATCAGTCCATGGTATTAGAGATGAAGCTTTCATGTTCATCACTGTAAGACAAGAAACCTGTGTTCATTTATGGTTTCATACTGTCTTAGTCTTCTGCTGACTTTCTGTGACATGAGACATTGCTTCCCACAGTAGTGGAGCATGACCTGTGTTTTGAGTGCTGATTAAGAAAAGGCCCTGTGATCCAACTACAAAATGATGATGGTTGCAATAAGGATAGCAATACTTTTCTCTCTGTTCTTTCCTGTGTTATAGAGCCGACAATTAGAATCAGAAACTGGGACCACGGAGGAGCACAGTCTCAATAAGGAAGCTCGGAAATGGGCCACGCGTGTGGCACGTGAGCACAAAACTATTGTTCACCAACAACGGGTAAGTGTAATAGAGAGTCCTAGACTAGCTACGTTTAGCTCAAGCAAAATGTCAGACCAACTTAAGGAGTTGAGCTATATTCATGTGAATGTTTTTTCTGTACTTTCTCAACATTCAGCAGTATGTTCTCAGTATCTACTTACCTTGGAAATTCTTTAAGGCTTCTAGCAGCAACATATTAATTCACTTGTTTGCCATAGAATTGCCTAAAAAGATTAGTGATGGTTTATTCTAGTCTTTTGGGCAGTGGAACAGACATACATATATTAAATTAATGTTGGTTTTCATCCTCTGAGACAAATTTTTTGAAGACACAATTGTAGGTTCCATGAAAATAAAAATGTCTCAGCTCAGCGCCTGTGGCTCAAGTGGCTAAGGCGCCAGCCACATATACCTAAGGTGGTGGGTTCAAATCCAGCCCGGGCCCACCAAACAACAATGATGGCTGCAACCAAAAAATAGCCGGGCATTGTGGTGGGCGCCTGTGGTCCCAGCTACTTGAGAGACTCGCTTGAGCCCAGGAGATGGAGGTTGCTGTGAGCTGTCATGCCACAGCACTCTACCCAGGGTGACAGCTTGAGGCTCTGTCTCAAAAAAAAAAAGAAAGAAAGAAAAGAAAAATGTCTCTTCAAGACTAAACTCTAAGCACAAAGAAATTATGTTAAGTTTGGTACATTTTTCTCAGTTTGTTTATTTATACCTATATCCTTCTCTTTCCTTGCCTTTACATCAATTTCTTAGAATCATCTATGCTTATGCCCACTTATTTTTCAGCCTATTACATTTTAGCTTTCTAGTTTAGCAAATTCTACTTACATTATCGGTTTTGAGCTACGCTCAAAATTCTACCAAAATCATCAGTGATGTCTATGTTGCTAGCTCCAAAATGGATACTTTGATTTCTTGTTTTTCTTAACCTTTCACAGTTTCATCTCTATTAACACTCCCTCAAGAGAATGTCTTAAAAGATTCTCTTCTTCAGTCACCCATGACTCAGCATTGTCCTGGCCATTCCTAGATTCTTTCATAGGTTCCTATTTCTCCATCCTACAATTAAATATTTAAATTCCTTAGATTTCTATACTATGCTATCTTCTTTTCTTATTTTTTACTCACACTTTAGGCAGTCTCAGCCACTTCCATGGTTTCACTTACTACCAAATCATAAGTTAATATCCCCAACTGGGCTTTGTTACTATGTATCCATGTAGCTTCCTACTTGCTTTAATGTCTTCTTTTTACTATCTCACAGACATCTCAAATTCAATGTTTCACTTACCTAATGTTGCATAACAGACCACCTCAAACTTAATGCCACACAAGAAGAACATTTTTTTTTTATTACCTCTCACTACTTTGAGTATTAGGTGGTCTCAGCTTGGCACTTTCTCTTGGGGTATTTTGCCTCCTTGCAGTCAGATAGTAACTGGTCCTAGTGTCATCTCACAGGCTTCCCTGCTGAAATATCTGATGCTTAAAACTGGAAATATTTGAATAATTGGGAACTGGAGTAGGTGGGGCTTATTCTGCACCTCCCTCTCTCCCTCCCTCTCTCTGTGGTCTAACGTGGCAACTTCAGATTAGTTATACTTCCTAAACAGTAGGATAGGACCCCAAAAGTGTTGAGTCCCAAGAGTTAGACAAGTAGAAGATGTATCAATCTTCTGACTCAGAAATAAAATGTTACTCGTGTCATATTTTTACTAAGTGAGGCAGTCATAAAGTCATAACTTCTTGGTGGAAAAATAGCAAAGTTCTGAAAAAACACCTAGAATGGGAAATGCTATAGTAGTTATATTTTTCAAATCACAATCTGCCACAGTCTACTTTTTGGGCATAATTGTTCTCATCCCTTTCGCATGCAAAATACACTTACTTCTCTCTTCATCCCAAGTCCTCCAAAGCCTGATGTCAGGCTCCATCTCATCATTTAAATCAGATTCAAGTACAAAGAAGCCGTCTTAGGTACAGTTCCTCGAATACATTTATCTCAGTCAAAAAGTTATGAATAACTTATCTGTCCACCTACACATACAATAAATAGTGGTGAAATTAACGATTGCAGCTTTATGCCTCAAAATACAAAGCACATAAAAAGAGTTTTTTTCCACTAGAATTCTTGGCTATATTTGAAAGTAAACATTCAGATTAAAAATAAATCTGCTGGCTTGGCGCCTGTGGCTCAAGCAGCTAAAGGCGCCAGCCACATACACCTAAGGTGGCGGGTCCGAATCCCCAGCCCGGACCCACCAAACAACAATGATGGCTGCAACCAAAAAAAAATAGCCAGGCATTGTGGCGGGCGCCTGTAGTCCCAGCTACTTGGGACGCTGAGGCAGGAGACTCGCTTGAGCCCAGGAGTTGGAGGTTGCTGTGAGTGTGATGCCATGGCACTCTACCCAGGGGGATAGCTGGAGTCTCCGTCTCAATAAATAAATAAATAAATAAATAAATAAATAAATAAATAAATCTGCTTTCCTACTCTGTTGTAAGCATACTGTGTCACTTTGCTGAGAAGTAGAGACAGATAAATTTAAACAACTTCTCTAATTTTTTTATAGTATGATATGTGATAGGTTTTAATCCAGTACGGTATATTTTAAGCAATAGAATGAAGAATTTTTATAACACTAAAACTAATTTTTCTTCTAGCCATGTTTAGTTAATAGTCACACTTGCCCTTCTGAACAAACAAGTATAAAACTGCTGGTCTAAGTATATGAAACAAATGTTTTCAGACAGACAGCAGACAGTAACATGAGTATGATGCTTGAGAGAAAGGAAACGAATAAAGTTAGCCCTATGACCTCTCAGGTTTTCTGCCTGGGGGCTCTTTCCATAGTGCAGAACAGGGAGGCAGATAATACAGTTCAGAGAGCCTGAAGGGGCATGAATTTTCAGGGCAGAATACCAGACAGCAGAGAAAGTTTCAAAATTCTATATGAGTTTCCCCTTCAATCTATTACTGGACACTAAACCATGTCTATATAAGCTGAAACTCCATAAGACTGGACAAAGAATGGCAAAGGAGACATAAGCTGGGTAATTACCAAAGTTTACATAAAGTTAGGACACATTCAAGTTCTGACCAGCCAAAGTTGAGACTGAGGTTGACTCTTAAAGAATATGTTTAGGTGTTGGGCGACTAGTGAACCCCAATCTAGGACAGTGGTCAGCAAGGGAGATGGTACTTGAAAAATCACGAGACTTTACACCAATCCTATAGCATAAAGTCTGAAAGCCTATAAGGGCATACACTGTTTCACGTGCCTGGTGGCCGCATAAGAACAATGCAGCAACCTGTCCTGTTTCATGGAATCTTTTTATTGGGTACATAACAGAGTATACGTGCAAGAATGCATAGCAGTCAGTAGTCAGCAGTCAAGTTAAGAATGAAGGAGGGGAGATTACAGCCCTCAGGAAGGTTGAGTAAAGGGTAAGCAAGGACCTAGGTAATGGAACATCTGAAATGGCCAGATAATGGCGCAACTGGAAGAGAAAGGGGAAAAAACAAGTCTTACCTCCTCAGACAGACATGTCAGCTTCTCTAGTCTAAGCTACTAGTTGATGGCTCAGCTTGCCTGCACTGCTAATTTCCCTATGCAGGAATAGTCATGTAAACATTCCCCTGAATTGAGCACTTCACATTCCTTTTTTCTCAATTAGGAAGTATAGAGGTGGCCGGAAGTATAGAGGAGCCTTTACCCTGGCTCTTGAGGGTCTGTGGGGTCTCAGCCTATCTATTCCCACATTTAGGGACACCACACACACAGTCAAAAGTCCATATAAAACCTCTGACTCCTACTGTTACTTGAATGTTTTATCAGTAAGGCTTCCAGTTAACACATATCTTGTATGTTACATGTATTATATACTGTATTCTTACAATAAAGTAAGCTACAGGGGAAAAAGTTAATAAGATTAATAAAGTAAAAATATATTTACTGTTTGTTAAGTAGAAGTGGATCATCATAAAGGTCTTTATCCTTGTCATCTTCATGTTAACTAGACTGAGGGAAAAAAAGAAGAGGAAGGGGTTGGTCTTGCTGTCTCAGAAGTAGCAGAGACACTAAGAGGTGGAGAAGGTAGAAGGGGAGAGGCAGGCACACTTAGTGTAACTTTATTGAAAACAATTGTACATCAGTGAGCCTGCACAATACAAAACTATGTTGTGCAAGGGTTGAATGAACTCGCATTCAGGAACCCACATACGTGTCATCCATTAGCACTGCTAATAGGCTTGTTTAGAACTAAGCTATAGAACTTTAATACAGGTGTTTTTTTTTTTTGGCTGGAGCTGGGTTTGAACCCGCCACCCCTGGCATATGGGGCTGGTGCCCTACCCTTTTGAACCAAAGGCACCACCCTAAAGATAATTCGATTTTTTTTTTTTTTTCAGTTTTTGGCCGGGGCTGGGTTTGAACCCACCACCTCCGGCATATGGGTTCAGCACCCTACTCCTTGAGCCACAGGAGCTGCCCTTAATATAGGTTTCTAAAAGCTCAAGCTAATCCATAAGTAACTTTTCTGCCAGAAAAAGAAATGCCATTTTTCAAAGGAAGAAAACAAAATCCAGCATTCAGCAATATAATGTTCATAATGTCAGGAATCAAATAAAAATTGTTACATATGTGTATTAAAAGAAGCAGGATTACAAGTGTCCTTATGATAAAAGGATTTTTTTTCCTTCTTGGTAGATGCCCAGTAATGGGATTGTAGGATCAAATGGGAGGTCTAGCTTGAGTTCTTTGAGGTTTCTCCATACTTCCTTCCAAAAAGGTTCTATTAGTTTGCAGTCCCACCAGCAGTGTAAAAGTGTTCCCTTCTCTCCACATCCATGCTAGCATCTGCAGTTTTGAGATTTTGTGATGTGGGCCATTCTAGCTAGGGTTAGATGGTATCACAGGGTGGCTTTGATTTGCATTTCTCCAGTGGGGGTGAGAGAAGGGGAGAGCAGAGAGAGAAAGAAGGACGGACAGATGGAGGAAAGGAAGAGCAGA